TTCCCTCAGGTCAAGGATCCTAGGGAACAGGGGTAATGCCACACTCTTACATCGAGACCATTTTGGGGTCCATCCCTGCACTCGTATGTGCAACCCTTGTGCCTCATCATGAGTTATGCCTCATTGACCTAACTCCACATCTTTGCGTTTTGCTCCATGGTGCAGGACAGACGAGCCCCCAGGGACCAGACCTTTCCTCCCCCATGATTTTCAGGACACCCAATATGTTCTGGTGGACCCTCAGGGGTCCTGGGTTCATTTAGGTCTGGAGGAAGCTGTCCCCTCATTCCTCACACAAGAGAAGCAATGGGGCAGGGATTAATCCCTCTCCAGAGACACGAGTTTTCCAAACTGCCTCGTAAAGGGAGCAGCACGTTGCAAGAAGAGAAAGCTCCTTTGTTTAGGATAGCAGCTGTAATCTCCACATCAAGCACATGTTGGAATTCATAAGTGGCCATTTAGCCATATTCTGACAGCAGAACGAGCAGCCTCGGAGCAGCAGCCAGGCCTATTTATAGAGAGGAGGTTTGAGGTAATATCCTTACCTTGGATGCACCGTCTCCACTTAAGAGCCTGGCTTACAAGGGAAAGTGATGCCAGACAAGCCAAAAAAAAAAAAAAAAAAGAAAAAAAAAAAGAAAGAAAGAAAATGCAGGAGTCACGGCTCACTTTGCCTGGCTTGCTTTGCATCATAGCAAATTAAATGCTAAAGAGCAGTAGAAATCTCTAAAACCTCCAATTCTTTCAGACTTTAATAAGAAATGCTGGAAAATGTGTAGCCACTGAGGTTCCTCAGGCCAAACCTGCATAAACTTATCAAGTTAATGCATCACTGTTGTCGCAGTACAAGAGCGTTAGGCAATCATGAGCTACCCAAGAGGTCAGAGCTCAGCCTACAAAGTTTGCTGACCTTTCTGTTGACTTTACTGCTGACATTCGGTGGCTCAGGAGAGCTTTTGGACGCTCACTGAGTGTTATCATGAACCGAGGCTGTCCCCCCATATTGCGTCAGACATTGATGCCTTGAGTATGTTAAGTCCAAGGTGTTTGGCAAAACTTGAGCAGTGGTGGGCTAGGTGTCCTGTATAGATGGCTGGGATCCAAGTCTGGCTGAAACCACAGGGATTTGGAGCTGGTCTGGGACACCTCAGAAACGTGGATTTTTCTCCCAACAGGAGCTGGGAATCCGTGGAAAGGGGAAAGGACACCAAGGTGGTGGTGAGACCTTTGCATGCACAGTGGTTTGGAGAGCTCTTTGAAGGGCTGCACTAAGAATAACAAGATGGCTTGGCTGTGGCTTGTAAAAATGATAGTCCAAGGCTGAACTGTGTCTTGGAACAAGGCATGGTGGGATGAGATTCAGCTCACAGACAAAATACCTAAATTTAGCCATTTCATTTAAATTTATTGCTTATGCTACATGTAGGTGCCTCCAGGCCAGCCAGGAGTCTGAGAGCCAATTGCCACCTTTAGAGGGATCATGTTGGCCAAATGTGGGTAGTTCCCTTTGGGTACCTGAACAGATAAGGTCAGTGTTGAAGAGCTGGGTTGAATTGCCCCAGGGTGGTGCCTTCACCTGAAGATCCCTTCCTCTTGCTATATTGAGGGCAGGATATGTATGACGGCTCCCAGAGGGCTCATGCCAAGAAGTAACAGCACTTGGGTTGGCTTTAACAGCTGCTGAAGTTTAGGGTTCAGAGCAGGACATTTCATCACCTTGGCTCACTCATCCTTCTCAGAGAGAAGCTCATGCTTCTGGTTCTTGGCTAGTACAGATGGCTTCGTGATCTGCATACCAAAATCTTCCTAGGACCAAGATCTGCTACACACATTGCTGGTACCATAGGGAGCAGAGGAGATGCTCACACATGCAACCTAAGAGCCCCACACAAGCCGTCCCAGCACTGATTCTTCCAAAAGAAGGATGCTCCCTTACACCAAATATTAATTTCTGTTTACCTCTTGGGTGTGAGAAACCATTCCAGCGCATCCCAAACCTTTGCATCATGCCTGTAATTAAGTTGGTCCTCTGCTGAATTTCCTCCTCCAAGGAGGTACAATGAATCTGGGGACAAGTATTTCACTTGCCAGGAAGAAAAGGGGTAGTTAGGGGTAGGAATCTCAATTCTGATAGGGAAGCTGCTCTAAGAAGCTTCCTCCTATTTCCCACCGGCACACAGGAGTAGGGGAAATAGCCCTCCGTGATACCTCTGAGCCCTTCCCCTCTTCTCTGAATTCAAGCTGCTGCTGCTGCTGCTGCAGGAACAGCTGAAAACATCCTGGTGTGCAAGGGAAGGAGAAGCTGGCCAGCATCCAGCATCAGCTTCTGCCGTGGGGGGAGAGCCCTGCCTTCCAACAGATGCTGGGCTGTTACAGCTCAAGAGCCCCACTCCCTTATCTCCCAGGGGCGTCCCTTGTTGCTCCTTCACTGACCAAATTAACCAGGAGAGACTGAACAAGGAATCTGTATATTTTGTGATTAAGCATACATGAGAAGCCCAAATTGCAGGATTCTGTTAAAGAAAGCAACAGAACAGAGAAAAAAATTGTTTAGTAAATTTCTCTGTAGTGCATTGGTGAAAAAGCCGAGTGATACGGTCTTATAATGTGTTGAAAATTAAATATTTCCATTCCTCTAATACGTGTTGTGGTCATTAAGCCATTAGACAGCAAGTGACTAAAGCTAAATGGCTAACCTGAAGCCCGGGATTTTCACCACGCCGCCCAAGGGCTATTAATATTGTGTTTTATTATTTCAAGGGTGTCTGTTAGTTAAACGGGAGGCTGTACCAATCCTACCACAATAGTAAACCACCGATAACTACATCAGTTCAAATTTACTAGATTAATAACGACACTAATGTAGTCAATAGCAATCAGCACAGGTTCATGGAAAGGGGATCCTGTCAAAGTAAACTCACCTTTTTGCTGTTGATAGGGACAACGGTGTTAATAGAGTTGGCACTTTACAGAGCTATCGGTAGCACAGGGTATTTTAAGCTGATTAAATCCACTTGGCATACGTAAAATCTGCTAAGAACTGGACACTTGATAGATCTCAAACCTTAATTGCAACAGGAGACAATTCACTGAGCTCCTGTGCTTCCAGTGGTACTTAGCAGAGCTCAGGTTTTGGCCTTACACTTTAATTTTTTTAGGAATATTCCTTGATTCCTTGAGACTAACACATCATTTAAGTTTTCAAATGATGGGGAAACCTAGGAAATGCCAAAGAAAGAAGAGGTCAGGGGGACTGGGTACCCCTGATTGCTTGCTATGCTCATTGCAGGCAAACAATATGAATTTCTTGGCAGCCAAATATACATTTATCCTTTGAGGACTGAAGACTTTCTGTGCACACTTACAGTACAGAACAATGCCCAGGAAGCAGGCGTTTTGAGAATTGTTTTCCAGGGGGTTAGAGGGATCCTGAAGGTAAAAGCAAGCCCACTGCACAGAAGTAGGGAGGCTGTGGTCTGTGTCCGGCACAGATCTGATGGCTGTGGGTGTTGACATGGTTATAATTCCACCGTTGAAGAAATCTTAATAAATTGTAGAGAGCTGAAGGATGATAAAAGAATTTGAATATATAGATATGGCATACACTGACATGCTTAAAGGGCCCTCAGGGTGTCTAGAAAAGCAGGGGAAAAGCTAAGGGATGACTTGACTCTGGTGATAGAAGTATATTCAGCTTAACTGATACGGGCATAATAAGATCAGACATCCAGAAATTTAAGCTGGTCAAATTCATATTAGAAACAAGATATATATCTTTCAGCAATGAGAAATGAATCAAATACAGGAATCATTTCCTAAGGTTGGTATTTGAGTTTCCATCCAAGGATTTTCCTTTTTTTAAAACCAGATCAGATATCTTTATGTTGTTGTTTTTGTTGTTATACATATATATATATATACATATGAATAATATATTACTAGATTAATAATGACACTAATGTAGCCAATACCAATTAACACAGGTTCATGTATATATCAATAATGAAAACAAGAATAAATCCTTCCAAGTCTTATGATGTATAAAACTCTTAATTTTATATTTGCCCAGGATTCTGTAGATACCTAAAGGACCATAAAACAACCTACCCTGCCTCTGAGATTTGGGTCAGAGGACCAGGATCAGAGCAGTCATCTTCTTGAAAATTCACGGGGAAAAAAATAAAATAAAATAAATCAGCATGTTAGTCTTTATTTCTTAGGTCAGGGAAGTTGTCTCCCCTGTGTTTCATCATTTTGCCTTTCAGATCGTGCAAGAAAAAGTCAGATTCTGTGGTGTGCCTGAATCCCCAGGTGGGCTTATCCAAAACAAGCAATTTAAAAACATAATAAACATAAGCAAAAATTATAAACCAAATATATAAATAAATAAACCTGGAACAATTCTGCAATGTCCTCTAGTCTGACTCTTCTGAATCATCAATTAATGACCTACTTAATCACATTAATGTTTTCTCTAGTCCTGATCAGACTTGCTTATGCTTAATGCTTTATTATATTGGCCTACTATTTAATGTGAACCAGGTATACACGAACATCTCACCAATCAGATCCATTTATCTACTAATGCTCCAGCAGTCACTCTGTTGCAAGAGAGAGTAGAACATGATAGCTAGATTTTTTTTTTTTTAATTAATTAGTTTGTCAAGCTTATTTTAAAAAGGAGAAACTTGAGCCTAAGTTTGCCTGTCAAGCAAAAAAATACTATGGCTAGATAGATTTCCAATGCATGAAATTCAAGAGGAGTTAGGTTTCCCTTTGTGCCTTTGAAGAGCTCTCCTTTGTGTCCAAGAGCTTTGTCTTGGCTGACGAGCTCCCGGCACTTACCCACAGGCAGTTCGGGGACATTTTGCTCTGTTTCCAGGAAGCACCGTGACCAAAGGAAAACTGAGGGCTCGCAAAGACACGTGCCAGCCCGGTGGTAATTGCAGCATTTCTAAGGCTCACTTTTTTTTTTTTTTTTTTTTTTTTACATATTTAAGGACTCAGTCATACAAATGCCCTTGGCTGCACACCAAAGATTGGACCTCAGCGTGATGGCTCTGACCTATTTCTCCACTGTGGCACACACATCCGCTGTCTGAAGAGCCCGGCAGCTGGAAAACATGAGGAGGAAAGAGAAATGAAGCTGAGAGAAGCCTTTCCAAATTCTTCAATCAGGCCCAAACAAGCTTTGAATGTGGGCTGCTCTGCTATTGATTAGGTGAGCAGGGTCTGGGTGGGTTGTGTGTGGTGTCCATGTCAAGCATCCCCTTTTCTCATTCTCAGCACGGATTCCAGGAGAGCCGCTTTGCTTTGAAAGAAAAGGGAATTTCCCCACGCCAGTAGAGCATCGCAGGATGCAAAGAAGGAGAGGGAAACCTCTTGTAACACAAAACCAGATGTTTTTGCAGTGAATCTCAACTGAGTGGAAGAAAATTTAAGATGTACTGGTAAAAAGAGCTTTATCAAGGGGGTGACTGAATGTGGGAAAGTGATGGAAGCAAATTCACGTGAAAATGTTAAACCAAAGTTTGGAAGCATCTTGTAAGATAAAAACGTAGTTCGCCTCTTCTTATTTTTAGGTTCTTGTACTGGGGAAGAGTCTGATTTGCGTTGCAATCTCAGTAAGCTTTGCCTTGTAAATAAGACTTCCTGTTGTCCTTCCTTCAGAGATGACATTTCCAGCACGAATGTTCCTTTTTCAGGGAGTGTTAAGCCTTCAGAACAGTCTGTGCTTACAGGACGAATCCGGATGCTCAGCATGTAACGTGTCCTCTCTGATGTGCTTCCATTAGGGCACCTTCTCCCTTTTTGATAGTGTCCTTTGCCCCAGAACCTAAAGTGCTGAATCGAGCCTTGAAATATAGGGTCCAGATTTTGCCAACTGCCTTAAATTAAATCACCTTTTCCTCTTCAGAGAGCCCATCCAGGCTCGATGGAGCATTGTGAGGTCCAAGACACACCAACAAGCTGGGTCAATCTCTGAAGGACTCAGGGGCACACTCCATTCCCCAGGAGCTCCTAGCCAGGACAAAGAGAGAGGAAGAAGGGAGAAGTGCAGCAAAGACTAGTACGTACCCTGAACACTCTTGTTTCATGCATATTGTATTATTCCAGCTTTGTAGGATTCTCACAGAATTTCTTGGGGGAAAAAAAATAGTATATATATATATATATGCAGCAGATGAATATCCTGGGCTTGTCAGACTGCTACAAATGTGCTATAGGGATGGGCTGTGTGCACAAAACAGGTGTGCTTGGGGCATGATGAAAGCCCAAGCAAATGTCTGATGTCCCAAACTTGCACAGCCATGATCTCCACTCAGAGACACTAGGGCTGGCTGAGGAAACATGGGCAGACATGAACTTTCTTGTTTTCTGATATATATTTTTTTCTGACCTTGAGGTTTCATACTTCATTTCTTTGCAGAAGACACTGGTTTTGAAGAAGTCAAAGTTAGGAGAGCGAGTTTGACATGCCTGGCCATAGATCAAGGAAGATTCTAAGTATTAGGAGCTATATCTGAATTGATGCTTGGCTAAATATCACACTTAGCTGCCATTCAGCCATCTTCCTTTGAATATTGCTGGTTTTGTATCTAGGGGTCATTGGGTCCAAGCCAGAGGGCTTGGCAGCCCATGTTGGCTGGGCCTACACCAGCAAATCAAGCAGGGCCAGCTTGTCCCAGCCTTTTTTTCTGGCCCTAAGGGTGAACACCAGGACACAGCTCATTTTCATACAGTTACTCACAAAGCAAGTCATGTCAGTAGGATTACTCCCTCCTTTCCCCTTCCCCAAACCCCTCAGAGTGGCTTTGATAGGACACATACCCAGGTCCATGGGATGCTCTGAGCCATGCCAAGGCACCGTCTCAGAGCCTGCTAGTTTGCACGGACCAAAAATCATGCCAGGAAACAAGCTAAATTCTTGGTGTTCGCTGGAGAATGTTTGATCCCGTGCCCTAGTTCTGAGTTTACCAGCGTAGACATGAGCATACAGACCACCTAGTGCTGAGCTTAATTCAAGTGCTGCCATCACCGCCCTCCACAGGGTCTACAAGGAAGCAGGAACCAGCCTGGGATAGCAGACAGCCTCTTTGATCTCTGCAGCAACGGTGCCCCAGTGACGACGCGGGTAGGCAGCTTGAATGTGACCTGAGTTCATCCGAGATATCTCCGAGCTCTCCTGATAAGCCCTGTCTGGGGTAGGGAAGTGTTATTGCCCTGTTTGTGCCTGGTGGAGATCACACAGCCAACCTACACGTCTCTCCAGCTCCCTTCTGCATCCCACCCCCAGCCACCCTGGTGCTGCACCAGGTGGGCTCAGTCGTGCTCTGTTCCCATTTTCAGATTAATCTACCATCACATATCAGTGACTTTTCCTTGCCAAGATGATGGAAATATTCTGCTTTGGGGCTCAACCTACTTTTTTCCTTTCATAATCTTTTCTAGTGAGGGTATTTATTAATATGCCACCACTGTCTCAATTGTATTTTGGAGTGGGAGACAGATGTTGTGTTTTAATTTTCAGTTAAATGTGAAGAATCAACATGAAAAGCTTCAAACTTTTCATCTTTGAAGCCAGACAAGCATGGAGAGGTGTTTTTCAGAGCCAGGCTTGCTGGGGAGCTATTCATGAAGCTAGAGATGAAGCTATTTTGCTCCTCAGCCAAGCAACTTTCAGACATTACAGAGCATTTCTTTACCAGATCTAAAACTATGTTTTTCATCTGACCTCTAATTCTAAAGAAAACTGCACCTTTTCTTTATAGTACTTAAATTTCCGTTTCTTAAGAACTCTGCTCAGGAGAACACACAATACAGAAACAGTCTGCATACTTTCAAATATGCCAGTGGTGACCTTCTTTATTTTAATGTCAAAACAGGGGCTCAGTCCCCAGTTGTAGCCAAATTTACCGTGCTCATTTGCACCAGGCTACAGCAGCAGGTTGTGGCTGCTGATCTGTTCAAGTGGTACTGGCCATTTGAGTGATTTCTGTGCTTTTATGGCTTCTTTTGCACTCCCCGAGATTGCAGGAATTTTATTCTTATGTTTATTGATGACTTCTTTGCCTTTCTGGTTGAGGAGGAAAGCTCTCCAACCTAGCAGCGAGTAATGTGCAGACTCAAAAATTAGAAGGAAAAAAAAAAGGGATGTGGAAGTTGACGTTCTCCTTGAAAACCTTGCAGTTCTGAAGCCAATCTTTTCCTTTCAGGAGGGCCCAAAGGGCTGAGGTCTGTCAGGCCCACAGATGGATTTAGCTCTCAGTGAAGATATGACATAAACTGAGTACCTGCAAGCGGGTGATCGACTCCCAGCTCTCACAGCCACACCGCTGAGGAGAGGGACAGGATAACTCTCAGTTCTGGCTCATTACAGACTTGATGGTATCTCCCTTGTAAGTTACTAAACCCATTTTGTTCATTTTGCAACACATCAATTTTATGGCTGAGCCTGAAGTATTTACTCGTCCTTGGGGTTTGCAGTTGTTGAGATACAGGATGTAAAAGCTTGCATGTAAAATGTGCCTGAACTCTGCTACCCATTCAACAGCGAGTCAATAGTTCAGGAGTTAATTCATGAGAAGAAGGGAGTAAAAACACACCAAGGTCAGGATCTCATGACCCACGGTCTGTCTATAACTCTATCTGAAGGACCTTGTAATAGATAGGTATGTGGCTTGGAAAATACATAATGTTGTGGTTAAGTGAGGCATTTCACAAGTTTTGTAACATCGCACTACTGGCAAACTTTCTTGAGCGTACATCACATTCAGATCGGAGATCTCAGTGGGATGGAAAACGTTAGGGTGATGAAGGTTTTAAATCTCATGACACACAAGCTGATATGCCAAAAAATATTTACAAGCTGGTGAGCGTCCCATAAACTCCCTCCAAAGATTTTTCTCGTTAGGCACCGGAGGAGCTGTGCTGATTTACTCCAGAGCTCTCGTCCTCTCCTCCCCATCGCCCAGCAGCCAGGGAGCGCCAAGCCCAGGTAACCTCTCCAACAGCCCATTTGCTGTTCCATCGCACAGCTCCAAGAGGTTTGTGTGCTGTCAGCACCCACAGCCACTTTCCTGGCTTTCCATCTCTGATGTGGTACGGGGAAGGTTTAGGTTTCCAGCTCTGCACATCTCAGGGAAGGAGGTCTGTGTTGAAGTACAGTTTCAAGGCATCCTCCTTCCCACTTTACCTTTAAAATGCCAAATTGCTCAGCCCTAGAGAAAAGGCTCCACCACCTCTGTAGTGAAATGTGAACCTGGTAAGGCACAAGAACAAAGCTAAGCTCAGCAGGGCCCACAGGCTGAATGCTTTCCATCTGCCCAGCCTGGTGACCCTTGAGCAGAGCTTGGGATCCCATGTCCCAGTCTTGCACCAGGCCATTACACGTGAGCTGGAAGGGGCTGGAAGGGGCTGGGAATGGTCTAGCTCCTTCATGGGATGCTGGAGCACCTTTGCAGGATTACAGCTTTGCAGTATGGACAGCAGTTTTCATCATTAAAGGATGTGCTTATGGTGTCCAAGGGGCTGGTGGCACGGTCCTACATGGCCAGATGCTCTCTGCACTGAAGTTGTTCTCCAGATTGGACCAGGGAGATGACCTAGCTTGAAGAAAGAAAGGAAGGGGAAGGAAGATGGGACTTCCTAAATCCAGGCAAGGTCCATGGGGAAGAGAGCAGCAGGGGGAGGTGGCAGGGAGCAGGGACAGGGAGGAGGGCTGCTCTCTGCCAGTGCTGCCTCGTGCTCTTGTCTCATGATTCACGGGGCTGCTGCCAGCTTCTGGTGTGACCTGGGGTAAAATCACTGACTTTCTGTTCCTCATGTGCAAAACAGGACTCTTCATACTTCCCTTCATAACTGCCCTCTCTGTTTATGGCATGGGATGGTTGTGCCAGAGCATGTGTGGCTGCATGCAAAGGTACAGCTCTGAGCCCTGCTGGCTTCCTGCAGGACCTGGTGCTGTCACCTGAGCATTAATTCAAGGAGACATTTGTACCTGGACTTTTAAGGCAGCCCTTGCCCAGCCAGGTTCTTCCCCCCTTTCTCTTGTAGGTTCTTCTTGCAGCAACCTGGAAAATAAGGGGCAGGAGGAGGGAGGGAGTAAAGCATTAATGGAACAAATGCTCCAAACTCGCTTCCAAAAACATTTCCATCTTCCGGCAGCGTAGCAGCTGCGGCATGTCCGATGCTGTGTTTGCCGTAATGGTCACCAGCTGCAAGGAACCGCTTTTTTATTGACCAGAGCACTTCCTCGGGGCTGCAATAGATACCGAACACCTCCAGCTCCAAATTTTGCAGGTGCCCGGAGCTGGGGCTGGATTTCCTCTCTCCCCCCACTGCCCTCCAGCCCCTAACAGTGGTGCTCTGCTCTCCCAGCAGGTCTGAAGCCCCACGCACACCCATCCTAGAGCCACGGTAATTAAGAGACATTTAAAGAGGTAATATCAAAGATAAATTTGATAGCAAAAATAATTAAGAAATAATAAAAACTAAGACTTTTTTTTTTTTTTTCCAGGAGGATCTTTTGAGGAGGGGGGCTGGATATAATCTTTTTGAGCGCTCTATTATAAGCCCCGAGTTATGAATAAATCCATATTTTAACATCTGGGATTCATAACATCTTGCTGACAGTCAAATCTCATAAAAGATGTGGTGAGCTCTACAGATGTGGGAAACCTCATTCAGTGAGCTGCATAACAAAGGAAATCTAATGCTTTTCCACTATTCCTTGTTAACTCTGTGTCTCACAGCAGTGGCTGGACGCTGCGGTCCTTACACCAGCGAGGAGCAGAGCTGCAGGGTCACCCATGCTGGGTGCACCCTTGCTCAGAAATGGGCTCAGCATCACTGCTGTAAAATAATGGGGGAAATAAGTGTGGGATTGCCGTCCCTCCTGGTGCTCCAGGCTCTGTGTTCATGGATCAGCAAGTAGTTTCTGCCTGGGGAGGCTCCCAAATAGAGGGGACGAGGTGATGGAAAGCACTACCCGAGGCATCACGAAGATGCGAGGCTAAGGGATGTGCCTAGGGTTTGTGAGAATGTCCCTTTGATCCCAGCACAGGATCTTCACGAGGTAAAACGGGGGGAAGGAAGGGAAGAAAAAGGGCAGGACACCCTGCCACCCCCATCTAACAAACCCATGTGAGCCGCCATGGCTCCTCCAGCGGGGACATAGCCGGTGGAGGTGGCCACAAACCAGACCCAATGCTTGTACTGCCATGGGCGTTACAGCAAGCCAGAGTCTCCTTTCTATCGGGTAAACCCAAGGAAAGCAAACAGTTTATTATGGTCTCGTTTAATTTGGACTTATATAAAGTTGGAGCATCCCAGCCTGTATTTAATGCATTTGTGGCGGTGGGGATTTTTTTTTTCCCTCCCCAAATAGCTCACCATTGATTTTCCTCTTAACAAGTGCTCCTGCTCTGACAGTGCATCTCACTCTCCGTGTTCAGACTAAGAGGTTGTAATCTTCCCGTCGGTGATATCTGAATCCCTTAGCCGTGGGCATGGTTATGTTTTCACTAAAAGAGGATTAGGGCCTATTAATCAATAAAGATGAAGTGGGTTAGCGGAGCCATGACAAAGACGGGGTTATTTCGCCCAGGCTGGAGAGACAGGCACGAAATAAAACAGCGCCTCAACAGCCTTGTTCTCAGCAATGGGTTTTAGGTGTGTGAAAGAAATGGGTATCGAGGAAAAAAGCCCTGCAAAGAGCTGATACCAGTATCTGGATGATCACCCCGTTATTTCATCAGGCTGTCCGCGGTACAAGTGCTGAGAAGAGGAGACCACGTCCCATTCTTGCCATCCCTGATGCCAAATCTCAAAATGCTTTATGGCAGGAGGGAAGAATTACTCGTGTCGGACAGAGAGGGAAACTGAGGCACACGATTTGTTTGTGAGCCTGTAGGAAATGGGAGGCAGGGCAGGAGAAGAGAAAATAGGCTTTGGGAGTGCAGTGAGTCCAGCCCAGCTGGCTGCCTTGCGTGACTTACGCTAAGAGGCTGGCAGGCCTCTAGAGCAGAGCTAAAGCACTGGAACTATGAATTTCCAAGCTTTCAAATATTTGGATAGCCTATAAATATAATTTTAAGCTCCTAATCCCCCCCGTCAAATGGTGTCATTTTTTTTCATCTTCCTTTTTTTTTTTTTTTTTTTTTTTTTTTTTTTGGTTTCGACCTCCCTTCTTTGTAAAGGTTTTGCTAAAGCAGCCTCAGCTCTGACATCATCTGAGAATTTCATTTAACAAAATGTTTTGAATCATTTGTGCCGGTTCTGGCGACTCTGCCAATGGAAACAGTCCCTGCAGCAAGTGCGATGTTAAACCTTGAATGTGCATTTTTTCTTTCTTCTCCCGCAGTTGCATTCAGAGCAAAAACTCTCCCCTTGTCTCTGGGCCAGCCCTCCCTGAGAAGGGGCTGCTCCAGGACATTGGGAGCACAGAGTTTGTGTGCCCAGGCAGAGCTCATCCAGAGACGGGGCAGCTTTTTGTGTTCCTGTCCCTTGTAACCCACCTGGGGTGGCGAAGAGGAGGAGGAGAATGGGCTGAGGCAGCGTTTGCCTCATTGATGTCCTTGTATCAGGTTCTCCTTCACTCTTTTTTTCAGGAACAAAACGTCCTGAACCAAACAAGGCAGAGGTGCAAAGATCTCAGCCCTCCGAGCTGCATTTAATGCTCATCAGCCTTCATACAGCAAAAACAAGCAAACAAATAAGGTGGCCCTCAACTATCCCTGATGCACTACTGCCAGATGTCTTCCTTCTCATGGCTTGCATGGACAGTAGTTGGTGCTTGAGGTTGTTTTAGGAAGCAGGAATGTCCTTTTCAAATACTTGACCCTCAGCAACACATCTTTGACCTGCCAAACCCAAAAGATGTGCATAAAGAGCCTCTGCAAACACGCTCAGGCTTATAATAAGAGGGTGTAATAGATAGTAAGTGCAAATGACTCATTCACCGAGATTTTCCAGGATTAGACAGCAGCAGAAGGGCAACGGCTGTGTAAAATGGACTTTAAAAAATAATCTTCTAATAAGATTTTAATAAACCTGTTAGTAAATTACAATGCTTGACTTCAGGAACTATTTCTCCCCTGCAGTGTCTTTCTGCGGAGGTGAGGCTGCGATGCTCTGCGGCGTGTGTGACACAACCTCGACCATGGGCAGAGCCTGGCGGGGAAGGGATTCATCAAGTCAACGGATGAACAAAAAAATCCCACGTGTGGGGAGCAGTTCAGTCCCCAAAAGCTGCTTCAGGCCTCCCACAACATTTTCTTCTGGGATGCAACTCAACCTTCTTTACTTGGAGTCTCTTCTTGTCTTTTTCTTCCTGTTGTCCCGAGTAGATTGATTTCCAAATGAAAATAAATGATGGCTCTTGAACCAAAAAGCCTCCTCTTTTCATTGCCCTCCAGACTGCGTGTAGCAACTGCTGGCTCGCCAAAGCCTTGCTCTAAATCCGGTGTCTGGACACGCAGGTGCATATGCCCGATGCAGCGGGTCTGCCACATTTTTTTGGTACTTTTTAGAAGTCTGTCTCCTGGGGTCAGGTCATTACATGGGAATCTCGGCTCTCCTTTGGAGCAGAGAACTCATTTTTGCAGCTGCCACGGTCGGGGTGGAAAGCTCACGTGTGCGAGTGCTTAGGGGCTTGAAACCCAGAATGCAAACCAGAAGGACCCGGGGTTATTGGCCCTGCTGAATCCTCTCTGAAAAGTGGCCTGGTTGTGTTTAAGCTGGACCCAGCCCAGCTGCTCATCTGCTGGGAGGTGGTGGGCACTTTGGTCCCAGCAGGACCGTGTCCGTCTCCCTCTCTGCCTCCTGCTGAGGGCTGTCAGTCCTTTATCCCGTTGCTTTATGGAAGCTTCTCCCACCCAGAGATGTTGCCACCCGTAACGTTAACACATTATGTTATTAAGTGTATCTGGAAGCGTGTTTATACGGATATACACATCTTCCATTTTCATTTTTACTCTCTGGGAAAAGCTTTAAGCGAGGGGGCAGATGCAGCTCCTCTGTTTTATCCCTGTCCTATAGGATGAATAGGGAAAATAACCTTCAGATATACCCCAAAGCCCCCTTGTTACACCACAGAAGGGGCACTTTGTGGGGCTGCCCAGGTCCCTACTACCTTTGCACAGTTAACCGGGTGCTGCCTTTGTCCTTCCGGACCGTTAGCGCTGCAGCCTTCAGCAGAAATACATTCTTCCGATGGCCAGCGTCCCAGAAAAGCAAAATTTCTCTTTTGCAACCGCCCAGTGCTGCAACCCATCTGCTTGGCTAATCCGTGTGGGGTAAGGCGGTTTTGGGACGCGGCGCAGCGTTTCATGGCACGGTTGCTGGTGACGCAGGAGACCTAACGGGGCTGCTGCTGCTGGCTGGGTGGCAGCTGGAGGCAGGACACGTGGGGACACGGGCAGCAAGGCTTTGCTGCAGCCCATGCAGAATCCCTCCAGCAGGAATCCCTCGGAGATGAACGCAGCGTGTCAGGGTGCCAGCTTCTGCACGGGGAAACCTGCAGGCAAAAAGGGAAAGCCCGGATGGGTCACAACGTATTTGAGCAAAACCTATGCATCTGGCATGATTGCAGGTCGGAGAGGTGGATGCTGCCAGGCCCTCTGGGGTCAGGTCTCCCAGCCAAAGAGCTGGCATCCAGGAGATCTCCAGAGTTTTAAAGCCCTTGAAGTGGCTTTAAGGAGCCTCCAGCCCTCTCCTGTGCTCACTGGGGCAGCAGAAGGAGGCTGTGCCCTGCCCCAGTTGTTCCCATTCCCAGTTTAACACATTTGCCCCAATTTTGCATCAGAATGGGATCATGCTGAGATGTCGGAGCCTGAAGGCTTGGTCCTTTGCGGGAGGCAGGGGGGCAGTAACTTTTTCAGTCAGCTCAGGTATTTCCTCCAGAGCTCGTCTGCCACGTCTGCCACGTCACCCCGCACATATTTGTGCTCCGGATGGGGCTTTGCTGGTTAAAGACAGGTAGGATGAAGCCTTGAGGAAGCCTCTTACAGGGTGGTGGGATGGGACAGTGGTGGCTTTGCAAAATTTTCAGGGTAAGACCATGGCAAGGGCAAGGAACAAGCCCTGAGCAGCGCCTGGAAAAACCTTTGCCATCCCCAGACCTGGGTGCTGGCGTCCAGAGCAGCTTCACTGCAAAGCAACCAACAGACACCAAAATCTGCTTTTTCTCTCCAAAAGCCACCACCAGCCAGCCCAGTGGAAGGGCAATAACCCTCTCACCCAGTCTCCCTCGCAGTTTATGATAAAGAGCCTTTTGTTGCATTTTAATTTGCAAACTTTCTCTTCTGCCATTCTCATGTACCACGGTTCCGGAGACTCACATAATTATTTTTACAAGAAACGCTTTCAGACAAATAAGTCTGGGGAGGCTTGTAATTTCTATTACCTCATGGCGACTCCATTGATAGACAGCAGCACACCTTGGGAGAATTAGGGAGCAAAAAGTAATGGGGGTTTTGTCCTCGCAAGACAGAGCTGCGAGCACTGCCTGGCTCGCGGCCAACAACACCAATTACAAACCAGGAGCGGGAGACAGGTCCTAGCGCTGAAAAATTACCATTTTCCAACTCGCCCGGGAATGCAGAAGCCGTGCTGTAAGCTACCATTTCCTTCAGGGCCCGTGAGGAATCCAGGAGTGTGATTTCGGCCCCCCTAGGTGTTTAGAGATGGCTTATTGTCACTAAATGTGCCCAAGGATGGAGCTCGCCTTGCTGTTCCTTGCCTTTGCCGCTGCTCACAACTCTTCCCCGGCTGCTTTTTATTTTTCCAGAAGCCCTTTCTGTCATGAGACCGAACACACGAGCATAAAAAGCAATTTCAGAGGCTGTGTCATTGGCAATTACACCTGAAAGCTGGAGATTTAATTACTGTGGTACCCGTGCAAGAGGAGTTGCGGCGGTCCCATCACGCGAGACGTTTCAGCGCTAAACCAGGCGTCTTCACCACATGTCAAGGAGCAAAAAGCAGAGCACTCAGCATCACCCACCCCCAAATCCCAGCACGAGGGCTCCCGTTGACACCCAAGCTAACAATTAGGTGGGTTAATTGAGGACACAGCTGTCTGCCTAACGCTGCTTTCCTCTCACACCTATTTTCCTTGCTGCTAACCATCGCTGGTGGTGGTGGAAGCCGCTCGGCACTGTCGCAATTCCCACTTCATGCCTGCATTTTCAATTAACACTCTTTTTTTTTTTTATTTTTTTTCACTCGGGTTGATGATTTTTGCACATTTGCTGGGAATCAAACAGTCCTGTCGGCACTCCTCAGCGCGTAGGTCATGTTCTGCAGCTCTCCCCAGCTACGAGGGTGCATTTAGGAGAGCGTCGTATTGTGGTGCCCTGGTAGGTACTGAGGACACAAGGAGCAGACAGCAGTTAGCACGTGTCACTAAACGCATCCGTAACCACCCAGCGGGTATATAACAGCACCAGGTGTGTTTGAAGCAAAGCCTCCAATTTTTCAGTTGAATGCCCATCTTTTAGGGGAAAAAACATTTTAGGGGAAACTTGTGTTTCAGATGTGTGGGGTGGGACGGAGCCCTGGCAGCAGGAAAGGCAGCCCAGCAGTGGCAGCTTATTGGGACTGCACAGTGCATGATAAAACCAGATGGGAAAGCACCCAGAGGCTTTGTACCCAGGGAAAATGTTTTTTGTGCTGCAGGGGTGGCGAGGAGCTCAGCATGCAGGGCTTGTCCCCCATTATCTGGCCACCCCGTAAATCTCACAGCATCTCCCTCCAGTCCTTCCCGCTGCATCCTGCGCTTGCTCTCAGCTGCTGAGCTTTGCTGGGCCGGTCAGCAGGGAATTTCCTCCCACTGGAGCAGTGCTCGCATGGCACCCAGCCAAGGAACCCAGCTCCGGGTCGGTGCTGCCAGCAGCCCTTGGCAAAGGAGAGCAGCGAGGGCTTTCCTGGGCACGGGGGAGAGGAGGATATCCCTGCTGAGATGAAAAAGCCATGCTAAAAACAAACAACCTGGTTCAGGTTAAAAAGAAACAGTTGTGTGTTGTTGGTTTGTTTTGTGTGTTTTGTTTTTTTTTCCTCTCGAGTTTGTTTGTTGGAGGATGGAGTCTCAGAGATGCAACATCAACAAACTGCACGTCGAGTCAAAGTGAAATATTTCATTCAACCTACACAGGAAAACGTCTCATGTTATTTGAGGGCTATTTACCCTTCTGTGTACACTTCCACTTATTTATGCACATAATGTTTTCAGGCTGATTTTAAGACAAGAAACGCTGATTCAAAAAGAAGAGCCAGAAAGTTTTGTTTCAAAGCTCCTTTCTCTCTCCGACACACAGAAACGTGCAGACCGGGGTCAGAATTGCTCACTGCATGACTGAATCGCTGAATAATTCCTGTCCTGCACGGGGCTCTAGCCCACAGCGGCTTTACTTTCATCCAAATAAATATAAGCAAGAAGTGAAACCTGGAGGTCGCCGGTAGCCTTCCCAAACTTTTTCCAGGATATCCCCTTTCCCCCATGCCCTGGGTTTTGTGCCAAGCACAGCTAAGGGACGGTGACCAACGACCTCCCCCTCGCCCCACAGCCATGTCTGATAGAGAAGCGAGGTTAGGTTCCGCTCCCACCATACCGAAAGCTCTCCGGGTCCCCAGGGATGGCGTGGTGACACCACCTCGGCGCCAGGACCCGCGTCGGGCTCGGCGATGGGCGACCGCAGCCGCTGGGGTCCGAGACGGAGCCGCCGGGTGTAGCCTGCGAGCCGGAGGAAGCGCGGAGCCGGCGTACAACCTGAACTTGGTCAGCCGCGACCCGAACCCCGAAGAGGAAAGCCTGCACGCATGACGTCTTCCTGTTAGGAAATATTAATCACAGCCGTGTCCAAACATGGTCAACGAAACCTCAGGAAAACCACTCCTTTGGCGACCGAGCGCTGCACGCCGTCATGTTCAGGAAGGCAGCAGGGCACTGGCTGCACTTACGTGTTGCCTCCACGATGTCTGCATCTGGGAAAGAAATTCGGGTCATCCCGGCCGTGCTTTGGGAGTTGTCGCTGTCAGGTGTTAGGGTTTTAGGTTTTACGGAGCATCCCCGGGAGAAGGCAGCATCATAACTCGAGGATTCTCACCACACTGCTTGGCGATGGCCCAGCTGAACTTGTGCGGCAAAAATATGGCAAAATAGCAAAATTGAGGAATGTCAGGTAAACCTGTGCTTTGTCTGCTGATGGAAGGGGTTTGATTACTTGGGGTCAAAAACCTGGAGCTCTTCGGAAGCTCCTGGTACCCTGTGGACATCTTTGGCTGAAGGCCGCAGCAACCAGAGCTGGAAGGAACCTGACGCCAACTCCCTGCTGCCCCCCAAACTCCAGGGTTTACAATGCCTTTCTTGCCACAGGGTAACTCACACATAACCCAGCAGGAGCAAAATTAATTAAAAAAAATAAATTTGTCCTCCTTCACCAGCCTTTTAATATCACTCTCAAAGCCCCCAGCGCACCTCTTCCTGTCCCACTAACCCTGCTGCTCGTAGGGCCTTGCACTGGCAGAGGGTGGAATAAAAATCATCACTTTTAATGTCCCTCCATCCCCCCAAAATGCATCTGCTGGTAGAGCCACACTGCGACATGAACCCCCAAAAACATCCCACCTCTTGCTGGTGGGGCCTTCTGAGAGCCAAGCCTTGCTTTATAGGGCCAATGGCCCTTGGGGGACAGCTCTTTCTTGAAGGGTTCCAACTTATTTGGTGGCCAACCCATGCCCATGGGGCCTAAATCCCTTTTGGGGGCCCAAATCCCCTTGGGGGATCAACCTTTGTTAATAGGGCCTAAACACCTTTTGTAGACCAAATCCCTTTGGGTTCAAAATCCCTTTCTGGGGACAAAAGCCTTGTTGCTGGGCCCATGTCTTTTTGGAGGGCCCAAACACCTTAAAGAGGCCAAACTTTGCTTGGGAGTCCCAACCCCTCTGTGGGTTCCAAATCTCTTTTGCTGCTCAGCCTGCTTATGATACCCAAGCTCTTTGTGGGGTTCAAACCCCTTTCAGAGGTCAATTCTTGATCATGGGTCCCAAAACACCTTAGGCCCAAACCTGCTAGCCCAGATCTTGGTATCTAAGCCTGCTTCTCAGGTCCCAAATCTCTTGTGGGGCCCACACTCCTCATGGGGCCCCAACTCCTTGTGGGAGTCAAACATCCGGGCTTGGTTAGCTCCCAACCTTTGGGTCCCAAAACCCTTGAAGGACCCAAACCCTTTGTGGGGTCCTTATTCACTCTGGTGTCCAAGCTGTGACCATGGATCCCAAAATCCATGTAGGAACCCCAACCCCTTGTTGGGCTCAAACCCATTGCCTGTAGGTCTCAAACCCCTGAAGGGACCCAAATGATATGTGAGGCCCAAATCCATTTGGGGGTTCAAGTTGTGGGTCCTGTGGGGTTGTTGCTTGTGAGTCCCCAAATGCCATGTGGGATCTGAATCCTCTGAGGCATCCAAACCCATTTTGGGGTCTCAGCATGGCTGTAGGTCCCCAGCCCCTTGTGGGATCTAAACACTGAGGCATCCAAACACATTTTTGGGTCTCAGAGTGGTTGTGGGTCCTCAACTCCTTGTGGGATCTGAACACCCTGAGGCATCCAAACCCATTTTGGGGTCCTTGAGTGATTGTGGGTCCCCAAATGCCATGTGAATTCTGAATTCTCTGAGGCATCCAAACTCATTTTAGGGTCCTGGAGTGGTTGTGGGTCCCCAAGCTCTTGTGAGACCTGAATTCTCTGAGGCATTCAAACCTATTTTAGGGTCCCTGAGTGGTTGTGGGTCACAAACCCCTTGTGGAGTCTGAGTATCTTGAAGCATCCAAAGCCATTTGGGGGTCCCAGTTTGCCTGTGGGTCCCTGATCCCTTGTGGGATCTGAACACCCTGAGGAGTCCAAACCCATTTTGGGGTCACAGGGTGGTTGTGGGTCCCCAAATGCCGTGTGAATTCTGAATTTTCTGAGGCGTCCAATCCCAATTTAGGGTCACAGAGTGGTTATGGGTCCCCAACACCTTGTGGGACCTGAACACACAAGAGGCATCCAAGCTCATTTTAGGGTCCCAGAGTGGTTATGGCACCCCAACCCCTTGTGGGGTCTGAATCCTCTGAGGCACCCATTTTGGGGTCCTGGAGTGGTTGTGAGTCCTCAAACCCTTGTGGGATCTGAATCCTCCAAGGCATCCAAACCTATTTTGTAGTCCCAGCATGCCTGTGGGTCTCAAACCCCTTGTGGGATCTGAATCTTCTGAGGCATCCAAACACATTCTGGGGTCCCTGAGTGGTTGTGGGTCCCAAACCCCTTATGGGGTCCGAGTATTTTGAAGCATCCAAAGCCATTTGGGGGTCCCAGTATGCCTGTGGGTCCCTGACCCCTTGTGGGATCTGAACACCCTGAGGAGTCCAAACCAATTTTGGGGTCACAGGGTGGTTGTGGCTCCCCAAATGCCATGTGAATTCTGAATTCTCTGAGGCGTCCAATCCTAATTTAGGGTCACAGAGTGGTTATGGGTCCCCAACCCCTTGCGGGTCCTGAATGCACAGAGGCATCCAAGCTCATTTTAGGGTCCCAGAGTGGTTATGGCACCCCAACCCCTTGTGGGGTCTGAATCCTCTGAGGTACCCATTTTGGGGTCCCGGAGTGGTTGTGAGTCCTCAAACCCTTGTGGGATCTGAATCCTCTGAGGCATCCAAACCTATTTTGTAGTCCCAGCATGCCTGTGGGTCCCAAACCCCTTGTGGTATCTCAATCTTCTGAGGCATCCAAACACATTCTGGGGTCCCTGAGTGGTTGTGGGTCCCAAACCCCTTATGGAGTCTGAGTATTTTGAAGCATCCAAAGCCATTTGGGGGTCCCAGTATGCCTGTGGATCCCCGAGCCCCTTGTGGGATCTGAACACCCTGAGGTGTCTAAACCCATTTTAGGGTCTCAGAGTGGTTATGGGTCCCCAACCCCTTGTGGTACCTGAACGTACAGAGGCATCCAAGCTCATTTTAGGGTCCCAGAGTAGTTGTGGGTCCCTGACTCTTTGTGAAATCTGAACCCTCTGAGGCACACAAATCCATTTTAGGGTCTCAGAGAGGTTGTGGGTCCCCAAACCCTTGTGGGATCTGAATCCTCTGCAGCACCCAAACCCATTTTGTGGTCCCAGAGTGGTTGTGCATCCCCAACCCCTTGCAGGCTCAGAACACCCCGCATCCCCCAAACCCATTTGAGCCCCACCACAGCCTTAACCCCCCGCACCACCCCACTTTATTTCCCCCATCGCCTCCCCACCCCCTCAGGGGCAGCGCCCCCGGCGGTGCGGGCGGGATGGCGGCGGCGGAGCCACCCGGAGCCGAGCTTCAGCGCCCCGCCCGGGGACCGGAGGAAAGAAGGAGGAGGAGGAGGAGGAGGAGGGGGGGGGAGAAAGAGAAGAGAAGCAGGAAACCGGGCGGGCCCGGGGCCGAGCCGGCCCCGCTCCTGTCACCGCCTGCGTCAGAGCCCGGAGTTTTCCACTGACGAAAAAGGGCAGCGCGGCGCGGCGCAGCCCCGGCAGCGGCAGAGCGGGAGGCGCCGCGCCAGGCACCGCCACTGCAGCCGGAGCTGCCGCCGCCGCCACCCGCCGCCTCCTCAGGTAAAGGGGTTTGGCTGGGTTGTGTGGGGTGTTTGGGTTGGCATTGAGGGGTTTTGGGGTGAATCCGTCACGGGGGGTTTGGGGGAGCGGGGTTTGGTTGGGTGCCCCCCCCCCTTCGTTCCCAGCCGGGCTGGGGGGGGACACATCGGGGACACAACCGGGACACATCGCGGAGCTCCCCGGACCTCTTGGTTAGCATGAGGAATGAGGAGAGTCTTGGGGAGGCCCTGCTGAGCCCCCCTTAAAAAGAAAAAATTAAAAAAATAATTTTTCATTTTTTTATTTTTTTTTTGGGGGGGGGAGCGCGCCCCCCCGCCAGCTCGCGGCGATGGTGAAATAAAACCGGGGGTGGCGGTGGTGGAGGGGGAGAGCCCGGCAAGGCTCCCTCTTTCCCCAAACTCCCCGGCTCGGGGATGTTTTCCCGTCGCTACAGCAACACCTACCGGCGCCCCGACAGACCGACGGGCAGACCGACGGACGGGGCGCCCCCCCCCGGGGGGCTCCTTCACCGCCGACCCCCGGTGGGGAGCTCTCACACCGCACCTTGGGGAGGAAATAAGGAACAAGAGCAGCGAAAAAAAAACCCTCTCGAGTTCCCAAACCTCGCTTTAATTCCTCTTTTCTGGCTCCCCCCAGCGCCTGTCACCCCTCCGCCGTGTTTTCCCCGTGGGATGGGGCTGGCGTGCAGGGAGAAGCGGTGTCCCACAGCTAATTATTATTATTATTTTTCATTTTTTTAAATATATTTTTATTATTTTCTTCCCCTTGCTTTGGTGCCGGAGCGTTTCTCCCTTTAATAATTCAAGGCAGGGACCCGCGGGCGTACACACGGCCGGCAAGGTAACGCACGGCGTGTACCGAGGGCAGGACGAGGATGGAAACCCGCCGTGAATTATTCATCAGCTGTAATCAAATAGAGGATTTTCCTAGACAAAGCACGCTTCGCTCCTTTCATATTTATTGCGGTGCAATCTGCGCCGAGTACATCTTGAAGCCCGCTTGGTCCGGGCCGTGCCAGATAACCTTTTAATGCCTTCGCTAATGTTTCTTATTTACCCTAAGAGAAAGAAGGGCTTGGTGGCAAACCCCGCGGAGCTTTTTCTCCGCGAGCTTCCCAAAATATTGGCAGGAGCGAGCTCTTTTGCCCTGCTTCCTGGGGAAGGCGTTTCGCCCAGCCCCGCAGGAGAGCGCACTTGTGGCACCGCGAGCGGATCCCTGCCTCCGCGCCTGGGTCGTGCAGCGGCAGGAGAGGTTATTTTTAACCAGGGGAAGGTTATGAAACCTTAGACCCGGCCTTGGAGGGGGGAAAATCAGCTGGGCTGAGCCGGACAGCCCCCGAAACTGGGAAGAGACCCCGCAGGGAGGCTGCCCCAGCGGCGGCTGGGAACCCACGGAGGTAAATATGGCAGGAATTAAAATAGTTAAATAAATGCACGGGCAGTGAGTCGGTGCCGATAGCACGGGGGTGACAAAGTTGCCTGGAGGCATTGCCAGGCTGTGAGTCGGTGAGGATTTCGGGGTGAGGATTTCGGGGTGCTCAGCGCAAGGCTCAGCACCGCGCCAGTTTTTGGCGATGCTCATGCCAAGGTCACCCGTACAAACCCCTGGAAAAAGGGGGGGCAAAAGACTCCCCCAGGGTTTACTGCGTGAGTCGTACCTGGCTGAAGTGGGTCTTAAACCAATATTTATCCTGGCTCTAGGCGTGGAGCTCGTGGGGCTGGGCTGTGACCTCGACCCCATGCACCGGGATGAGCCCACCCGGCTGCCTGGGGATGCTGGTGCTCCTAGAGCCAGGAGGTTGGCTCTGAAAATACATGCTTTTAGTGCATTGCACTGGTTGTTTGCTTTTTTTTTTGTTAACACAAGTTGCTTTGTGGAGGAAGAGTCTGCCTTCAGCTTGTGCGCAGATTTGGGATCCTTCCACCCTTTGGGATATTCCCTGGTTTGAAAAGAAGAAATTGCAAATATTGCCATGATACCCTGGGAGCTGGTTTGAGGAGCAGCAGAGCAAGCAAGGGTGCACTGGGAGAGGTTTCCTTCGCCTGCCTTGCGTGGCAGTGTGCACTGCCCTGTAAAAAGTGCAGATAGGGCCCCAAAATCGGGCGCCGAACCTCCTTATCCACGGTATCTCTTTGTGCAGCCTCTGAGAACCAGCCCGAGTGGCCGCTGATAGTGGTTTTGGTTGCCTTCCTGCTCGCTGGGCTCAACAAATGCCAAGCCTTCTTAAATCTAAATTACTCGAAATATTTACTGTTGATACGTTGTCCCAGAGGAGGATAGTTAAAACGTTAATTCTTCGCATTCCTGCGCATTAGGGCTTTACCCTGCAACTCGCTGGCCGCCAGAAATGGGACTTAGCAGATTCGCTTCCCTTCCCCTGCCCCCATTAGACACCCCCCCCCCCCAAAAAAAAAAATGTAATGTTTGAAAAAAAAAAAAGGAGGGAGAGAGGGAGAGAGAAAGAAAGGAATGCACATCTGGGCTAAATATTTGTTAGAAAGTATTCCCAGGATAGTGGGAGTTCTGGTGCCAGAGAGGAATTCCTGCGGGTTTGATCCATTGCATTATGTACTTGTTCCAAAAGCTGTTTTCAGTAAAATAGATGAGTAAGAAGTCTTAGCCAAGAACAGAATGTCTTTTTTGGCAACTAAAAGGAAGATAGGATTATTTTATTTCAGGTTATGTAAAAAAAAAAAAAGAGAGAGAGAGAGAGAGAAGGTGGTAAAATCCTCCTGCGCTCCGTGCTGCTCGCAGAGATTTGCACCGCCGAGCAGAGATATTTTCCTTGTTTTTCACGCTGCTGTGCACATTTTTGTGACTTCTGTGCTAGGCACAAGTGCGGGCTGAAGTCTCAGGCTGGCGGCATCACCACGGTTCAAATCTCCCGGCTGCGGCTGGCGGTTTCGGCGGCACTGCTCCCACGGCGCGAATTCCACCGCCGAGCGCTGGGGCGAGGAGGGGAGGGCACCAGCTGTGACCTGCCAGCTGAACCCCCGCCCAGAGGGTGTTTTTTGGGGGGTAGATGCGTGAAGATATATTTTGTAAAATCCCCTTCAAAAAATACATGATGGCACCATCCAAAATACAGCTTGGTGAGCTCTGGCTGGGAAATCCGGCTCTGCAGGTGACCCGAGCATCAGGGCTGCCTCGCCCTGCAGCATCACCCTTCTGCTCCCTTCTGTGGGAATCCTACAAATTGGGCAACCCTCTTATAAAAAGATGTTGTTTGGTGTTGGTTTTTTTTTTTGGCCCTGGGTAAAAGTCCTGATGCTCTTCAGACTGGCAGCAATGTTCCCTTCCCGGCACATCCCCAGAGGCAGGTTTTGGGGTGGAGAGGAGGGTGCTTGTATTTGGGGAGGGCTGGCCCTGGAGGAGAGGACGGACAGACAGACAGACGGATGGATGGATGGATGTCAAATGGGAGATGGCATCAAGCAGAAGTGGCTCCTGGATGGGGTGAGCTGCACCAGAGCAGTGTCGCTGCCCAGGGACTCATCTCCAGCACCGTGACCTCGGCTGCTCCACCGCACCCCGGTGTCCCCGCAGGAGGGGACGAAGTGGAAATGACACCCGCCCGCCTTGCCCGTTCGACTCCCATCCTGCTGGAGATCCCATCCTTGGACGAGCCGGGTGCTCCCTCCGTTGGCTGGAAGGTGGAGGTGGAGGAAGAGTCCTCGGAGCAGCGAGTGGGTGTCTGAGCTGCTGCTTCCCAGAGTTTATTTTTGCAGTTTTTGGTCACTCCGTGTGGATGAGGAGACAGCGGTGCCACGCAAACCTCAGCTTCGGGCTTCCCTTCAGACCCACTCCACGGATTTGGAGATTTCCTTCGCTCCTGGTCGTTTCTTAAAAGCAACAGGCGATGGAACAGGAGGAGGAAAAAAATGAAAAAAAAACAAGGAGACGTGAGGTTTTTGGGCATTGTGGCTGCCCACAAGCTCTGCTTTGCCAGAAGAGGGCTTAGTACAGGTGCCAGGTAGGACACGCTGCATCTGGAGGGCCGCCAGGGCCACCTTCCCTCCATCTGCTTTGGATCAAGGCCCAAAAACCCAACCCCTGGCACCAGCACCTGCAGCCCCAGGGCCACCGTTTGCCACCAGAAGGGGACGGCTGGGGGACTCAGGGGAGCAGCAGCCCCGTGGGCGCACGTTGTGGTGAATGATTAACTTCTTCCAACCCAGGAAAGGCTCCATCCATCCATCTTTAACCTTTTAGGGGACTGCCGGCTCCTGGGAAGCTGTTGGTAATCGTGATTAATGAGCTCTGGGGCTTTGGAGGCACGGCGTACGCGCCCGTCAGCCTAGGTGTTATTGTGCAGCGCCGCTGAGATACCGAAAATCCCGTCACCAGGAGGTTCTGAAGGCTGTGCGGTTTCTGTGCTCTATGCTCAGAGCTGTCAGGAGAGCGTTGGTTTTGTGTTTTTGTGTTGGGTTTTCTTTTTTTTTTTTTTTCTTGAGACGGGCTTAAATTAACTTCAGACATGCAAAAGAGGGTGAGAAAGTGACACGGTTACGGTTACGAGGAGCAAAATCGGGGGGAGAGTTTCACAGCAGGGTACGGGGATGTGGCTGGCAGCATCGTACCTGCCCTTTCCCCACCCTGGTCCGGGGACATCGGGGCTCTGTGTCTGAGTCCTCCTGCTGTTATCCGAATTTCAGGATTGCTCTTGGTTGCGTGCGTTGCTGCTGGTTTTATTGCAGGGCTGGCAGGGAGCATCCCCCCTGGCTCCTCCTTGCTGGAGGCAGTTTTGGGGGAGCCCTTCCCACCAGCTCCCCGGTGTCAGTGGGCTTTGATATCGCTCAGGCAAAGCGTGCAGCTTTTGTGCAATTTCCCACAAACTTCATAAAACCAAAGGTTAAAACATGCAACAAAGTTGTGGGCTTTTTTTTCGCCATTTTTCCTTTTATTTTTTCCTTCTCGAGATGAGCAGTGGAAAAGCATGTGGGATATTTCAGAATCTCGGCGAGCACAGAGCTCCTTTGTTTTTAATTAGCTGCGTTGTTTTTAATTGCTACTATGCTTGATGCATAACCCAGCCTAAACAAGAATAGCTTATTGAATGGGGGACTGGCTATGAAAGGCACCGTGAGGAGAAGGGCTGTTCTTCACAGTTGATATATTTGTATTTCAGTGCTTCATTTAATAAGTCTGTTTCCCCAGGGGGCTGTAGCAAGTAAATCATGCCAACAGATTGTTCTCTGCAAACTGGCTTATTTTTGTAATTAGCACGACGTTAAAGCTGTAACTGCACAGAAAGCGATCTGGTAAGGAGTTAACATAAAAGAATTAGTAAGCAAAACGTAATACTTATTGTTTGATAACATTTGTGTTGATTGAATTGGTTTCTGGACAGTCGCTTGTCTGTGATAGTTGTTTTTTTCTGCGGCGCCTTAAAACAGGAGAGGAAGGCAGCGGATGTGCCATGGGGTGGCAGCAAGGTGTGGGTTTTGGGGGCACCTTTTGGGAATCGCACATGCACGGCCGGATTGAGATGGTGCCAAAGCCTTGCTTGCAGTTGGAGTTATTTCCCTTGCTTTATTATGTTTTTATCTCTTGCTTTCCAGTTATATGAAAGATACGGCGTCACCATGAGCGGGGTGTTGAAAAGGAAGTACGAAGAGCTGGGGGACGACAGCACCTACTGCTCCTCCTCCTCCTGCTCACCCCTGTCCTCCTCAGCATCCTCGGGCTGGGACTCGGATGAGGAGAACTCCCGTGGAGAGAGCAAGCCCAGCTCTGCCTTAACGCCCAGCTTCACCCGTGAGTATCCCTGCCACCCACTTCCAGCTCTGCAGCCACTCTGGAAGCAGCCACAGTGCCTTTTCCCTCTCGTCGTGCTCATTTATCTCGTTTTCATACTCACCCAGGGGACTCTTCCTCAGCCCTTCCTCCCAGCTTTTGTCACCCGTTTGTTATTTTCTTGCCCAAGTCCAAATTTCTGGGAATTGGAGCCCGGAGGACGTGGATGTGCAGAGGCACACGTGTGCCTCCAGGCCGGTGCTGTAGCAGCATCCACCATCCCTCAGCCCGCTCTCAAGCTATTCAGCAGGCAAATATGGGACAGACAGCACAGCCCATAATGCTGGGTTTTCAAAATGGTTAACCAGTAGCCTAATTACCATTTCAGAGCCCGTTTCCTACATAAGGTGGGGACTTTGCCAAAGCACGCGACACGTTTGACATTGCCTCCGCTGTCAGGACAGATAAATGCTATTTTGTTTTCCCAGCATTATCGGTTTTGAGAGCTTTTAGGAAAACATGCAGAAGACAAGGTCATAAAATCCCTTATCTGCTGCGCAAAGGGGAAAACAAGACAATAGGGGACCATCTTCGTGGAGGAGAAATGGTCCAACCTAGTAAATTATGCTGAACGCCCAGTGTATGTAGCAGTTAAGGTCCACTTAGCAGACATACACAAACATGCAGTGGTCTGAAAAGGCTTTAGAAGTCTTGTAATAATAAAGAGGCTCATTCTTGCTTGTCTTCCCAGGTTTGGTGACAAAACAATGAACTTTTTGTATTCTCTGCCTCAATAGGAAAGGGTCAGGAATGGAAAAACAATTTGAGGTGGGGGGGGGAAGGAGAGAGAAGCAAATGCCAAAGTGCAGCAGCTCAGTCGATAGATGATCGCGGTGGTTAACTTGCCTTTTGATAAAGAGCTGATGTTTTAGGAGATTGAATCAAGGTTATTATGAAAAAGCAATGCACAATGCAAAGATAGCATCAAAGCAACGGCAGAGCCTGGTTTGAAACCCTCAGCTCGTGAGCAGAAGCTGCTGACACAGCTGGGTGAACGCTTTTTTTTTTTTTTTCTTCTCATCCGAAACCGAAAAGCTGCGTTTTGGCAAGCGAGACCTGTGAAACGTGGGTGCAGCTAACTGTCCAGTCTTGCACTTTCCCAGCTCCGCCATCCGAGGAGCTCAGCTCAGTTCTGGCTCTGCCTTGGTCCCGTGCCAGGGAATCACCCAGCCCTTCCTGGCTGCTTTTCCTCAATTCCCACCCGTGCACTAGCAGCTAACAGCCAAAAAAAAAAAAAAAAAAAAAAGCCAAACGCTGCATTTGTGCCTCGCTGATTCTCCTTCCTGACATCATGCAAGCAGCATGCAACACCTACTGCTGCGTTTTGCATTTGCTTTGTGCAGCTCGTGGAAACTCGCTGCCTCTGAGATTGCCCTGACCAATTAGTCCTCCCCCACTCGCTGTGTTTGCAGATGCAGAACCAGGTATCTCAGGAGGAGCTCTGCTCTAAATGGCGTGCAACGTGCTTCAGCAGCTTAAGATAAACCAGAGTCATGTATTGCCATGTTTACCCCGGGATCACCTGCGTAAAGATTAACATCTTTGCAGCTGCTCTCAGATGAGTCTCTGGAGAACAAACTATGGCTTCGTAGTTCCTCCCAGTGGATGGTGAAAGGAAGTACCAAAAGAACAGACGTTTTGGCTTTTTTTGGGGGCTCTGCCATGAAAGCCAGAGCCACACCACGCTGCAGCATCACTGCCCTGGCATCCCGGGAGTGGACCTCAAGGTCCTGGCTGCGGGGCAGCAGGCAGGGTGCTGCGGCTTGGAGCAGGGCAGGCGTGCGGGGTGGTTCAGTTGCTTGTTCGTTCTGCTCTGCTGCACGTGAAGAATAAGCAAATGTGTGTTTCCTGGGGGGAAGTCATGCGGGAAGGAGAAGCAGCAGCCGTTTCTTAGGGTGAATCTGAGCAGCGACTCCGATGCACCAGGACTTGGCAGAGTTTCCTCACCATCCACATTCCCCCTCTCGATCCTGAAACACAAAATGCTGTGACCTTACCCTATCGTGTCCCCATTGCAAGAGCAATTGTGAGCCTGTTTGCAATATTTTACCTCCATCTGCAGGATGGCAGCGCTGACCGTATGTTCTTTTCCTCCCCCATTTTTAGCCACGTCCATCCTGAAGAAATCCAAGCGGCTAAAGAAGAACAACGTGGAGTTTGACCAGGTCACTGTGTTCTACTTCCCGCGCTGCCAGGGCTTCACGAGCGTGCCGAGCCGTGGGGGCTGCACGCTGGGGATGGTGAGCAAGCACAGCTCCTCCCGGCAGTTCACGCTAGCAGAGTTCTCGAAGGAGCAGGAAAACGTCCGTCGGGAGAAACTGAAAGAGAAATTGAAAGAGGAGAAGTTGGAAGCCTTGAAATGGAAGGTGAGTGGCCGGGTCGGTGGAAGTCCCTTAGGTGGCCACTGTCAGGACAGATCTTCCCTTCCTCATTTCTCCTGACGGTCTCTGCCTTGGTGTCCCCAACAGTTCCCTAACGTTTTGCCCATTTTGTGCCCTCAGCTAACCATGAACGGCACAAAGGAGTCGGAGGAGGCCAACCAGCTCACTGTCGAGGACATCTCCGACGATGACATCGACGTCAGCAACGTGGACCTGGAGGACGGCTTCTTCCTCCAGCCCTACCCCGCCAAAAAGAGGCGGGCGCTGCTCAAAGCCGTGGGGGTGAAGAAGATCGACAAGGAGGAGAAGCGGGAGCTGCACAGCATCCGCCTGTCCCGGGAGGACTGCGGCTGCGACTGCCAGGAGGTCTGCGACCCCGAGACCTGCAGCTGCAGCTTGGCGGGCATTAAATGCCAGGTACTGCCCTCGCCGGCTCGCATTGTCCCCGTCGCATGCGTCTGTCCCTGGGGCAAAGCTAGGAGAAGGTCTTGGAGATGCTCTCCAGGCTGCTAGGCAAGCGCTGCTCAAAAGCATCCACCTCCCAAACCACACGTCCCGTGGGGATGTGCCAACGCACCCGCACGGAGCGCGGCAGAGAGAGATGGACCATGTGGGCTGCTCTTGGCAAACAAAAGCTTTTCACTCCTCCAGCAAGGCTGCGATTTCCCCTCCTCCCCCTGCTGGTATTTTTGTTCCCCTCCTTGCTTCGTGTCACAGCTCCCGGTGCACTCGGGCAAACGTGGGAGCATCAGTGTCAGCCCTGCAGACCCACCTGCAGATCACAGCAGCGGGGTAATCCCATTATATGCAATTTAACACCTTGTTTTTTTTATGAATATTTTATATTTTTATGGATGCCCACCCCGTTTTGGTTTTGGGGGCACATTCCCTATTCCGGGTGCCTTTCCTGTGCCCTGGTTGCACACTGGGGTGCTGCAGGGTGGGTGTGCACAGGCGTGCACAAGCGTGGAGTGCTCCGTGTGCGTGTCACAGCCCCCCTCTAGTGGCTGCTGACAGCTGGGACATGAAGGTGTCGCAGTTTGTCCTTCATCCCCTCCCTGAGATGAAGGATACGGATATTAAATACTGAGATGCAGTATATTAAAATTCAAGTTTACCTTTTAACTCTCATTTTGGGGTGTTACATTTTGATTTTTTTTTAAGCCTTTTAAGGTTTTTCAGTTCTACCAGAATCCATCTTTTTATGACAACCTTCCAAAGAGCAGGTGGAAATTTTTTAATTGCTGTATTTTTTAGTGTGCTTTTAGACCCCTCAGCCATTCCTTCGTGCTGCTGGGGTGGGTTCCGAGGGTGGCTCAAGGGAAGCTTCGGTTTTGGGTCCGTGTCCTCACCCCCGTGTCTCCTTTCCCCCCTCCCCAGATGGACCACACCTCCTTCCCCTGCGGCTGCACCAAGGACGGCTGCGGCAACACCGAGGGCAGGATCGAGTTCAACCAGTCCCGGGTGCAGACCCACTTCATCCACACCATCATGAAGCTGGAGCTGGAGAAGCAGCAGCAGAGCAGCGAGGGGGTGGCGGAGGCCGAGCCTCCTTTCCGGGAGCGGCTGCCCCAGCTGGGCTGCGCGGCGGGGAAGGGGCCCCTGGAGGAGCGCGCGGCGCCGCTGGCCCCCGCCTTCCAGTTCAGCCCCCAGTTCAGCCCCGAGCTGGAAGCCCTGGGGGAGAACAGCTGCAGCAGCGACATGACGGACTCCTCCCTCTCCTCCCACCCCAGCGAGGACCTGGAGGAGCCCTACGAGAGCCTCCCCTCCGACAAATCCCAGTCGGACGTCGACGACGACGGCTTGGCGCGCATCCTCCACTTCAACGACTCGGATGCCGAGGAGGAGGGCAGCCGCTGCCAGGACAACCTGAGCTGTTTCCACCCCGCCGACTTCTTCATCGAGGACCATGGCGGTGAGGCCAAGCCCGGCCCCGTGGCCTCGTCCCACCTCTCCGAGTGCCTGGACGAGAACGCCAACCAGGACGGTGGCGGGATGCTGGAGGAGGCCGCCCACGCGCGCTGTGACGGGTTGTCCTGCTGCGCCCCGGCCCCAGCCGAGCCCTGCTCCAAGAGCTACGCCGACCTCAGCCTTTCCTCTGACTCCTTGGATTTCTTCCAGTCCTTCTCGGACTATAACTTGGGACCCCTTTACAACCCCTTGAAGGAGTACGAGAACCTCGATAACTACTCAGCGTTACAGTTTCAGTTTCCTAATTTCCCCAGCTTCCCGCAAGGCGGAGATCAGGGCTCCAGTTTGTTGGAGTCTCTCTTCGGTTTGTCCGAATCCGTCCCTGAAACCCCGGCCCCTTTCACAGACAATCAGCATTTGGAGGATGTCATCAAGTCGCCGCTGATGGAGACGGTGAAGGTATGAGATGCCCGGGTACCCAGGGACGGGAAGGACCGGCAGCATTGGGGTGCTGAAACCAAAGCCGAAGAGCGGTGGGACGGGCAAACTTTCAGTGACAGGATGATGTGCTATGTGAAAAGGAAAAACAAAAAATAATGAGACTTTCTGAGCAGACAAACTATTTTTGGTCTTTATAGAACGTGGACGTTTTGACATACTGCAGCTACAATCAGTTCTCTTGCTGTTTGTGCAAAAATTTCTAAACTTTCGTGATGGGGTGGGAGGGAGGGAGGGAGGAACAAAGACTTTCAAGTATGAATTTCCTTGTGTTTTGTATGCAAAGACCTGTTGAGAAATGCTCCTTGTGAACGTTGCCAGTCGTACACACAGCCCCTTCTAGAAACGTTTCAGTGTTGTGGGAACTTTTTTTAGACAACTTCTGAAGCTGTATTTATTGTGAAACTTTGTGATTTGCATAAGAGCTAGCCCAACACGCTCTTGCGTTCAAATCCAAAAAGGTTTACAGAAGAGATCCGTACACTATATACATAATCATTCTTCATCTATTTATTGCAAATTCCAGAATTTAAATAGCCACCGAAGCTTGAACTAGCATGAAACCTTATTTAAATTGGTAATACCTCAGATGTATTATGTGTACAATCATATTTTTTGCATAATATATCTGTATTTATTTATTTTCTACCTGTAGTACATGAGTAGCACTGTGGTTTATCAGTGACCTGGAAGGGCAATAAGGTCTCGAAGTGGCACACATCCTGAAGATGGCCCTGTTGTTGGAGTCTGGAAGGTGCTGGCTGTTTGGTCTTCACGTAACATTTTTACAAGAGCCAAATGCAAGCGGGTGGGAGGGGAGGGATGGGGGAAAGGTTCCTGTAGGGTCCTTGGGTAGCTAGCCAGCCTTTCACAGACACGATAGCAGGAATGTGTCCGATATCCATGATATGGGGACCCTCAACTGCCCAAGAAACACAAGCTAGCTCAATCTAATCAACAAAAACCACCCAACCCTTTTCATAAATTATTTTCTAACTTATTTAACTTCCTAAGGATTTGGCCATGAGATCTTTTGGTGCCTGAATATGCAGAGGACCCGTCAGCAGGGGGGCTGGATCCTGGGACTCAGGCGAGCAAAGCAAAGGGCAGCAGCACCCTGCTCATACTTCTCAGCGAGTGCTCCTTAGGGCTCCCAAATGTTGAGGGTATTGCAGCCCCCCAAGCTGATGGGCCAGACTCTTCATTTTTATAGGTCAATTGGGTAAATCGAGTCAGGGGGAGGGATGTGAAGGTTGGTGGGTTATTTATTGTTTGAGTACAGTTGGAGAAGGAAGGAAAAAAAGAGCAATCAGTGTGTTTAGGAGGGAAATTAGAGGCCTCCTTGGCTTTTTGTTGTGGAAATCAGCCCAAGAACATGACACTATTTGGCCATGCCATGTAACTGGACCCAAAATCCGCACGCCAGTGATACACTAAGTGCCTACGCCAGCAGCGCGAGCAGCCGGGTATCGCAATGGGAACCCACAGCTTTACATTGAGCCCCCCCCTTCCAAAGGGTGCAGAGCCACCCAGGTGGGGAGGGGACACCCCAAAAAGGGGCTTTGGGGTCCTTTCCCCCGGCTGAACCGCTGATATCCCTGCTGAGTGCTGGTTGGTACCTGTCCTTGGATGGACGAGCCCTGCCTGCTCCAGCAGGCACCACCAGCGCCCTGCCAGCAATTTGGGCAGCTTCTGGCGTACGAATATCGCGAAGGCTGGGTTTTATTATTATTATTATTAATTATTATTATTATTTAATTGTTCATCTTCTCTGGTATTGAGCCGGTCAACCTCGAAGCGTTGCTGACCCACCGCGTCCTCCCGCGAGGCATCGCCCCGGGGATATCCCCGCGGGCAGGAGGGCGACTGTAGGAATACTACTGGCAGATGGAGGATTTCCTGGAGATATATATATATAAATATATTATTTTTGTTGTTGTCGTCGTCGTCGTCGTTTCTTTCGACTGAAAATCCCCTTCAGTTATCTTCTAGGTGGTAGTTGCTATCCTTCAGACTGCATCAAACTCGCTGACCGTTGAGAGTCTGGTACCGTTCTGTATTTATTGGCACTAATATATTTTGTAACATTCCTCGGTTTCTCCGCATATATATATATTTATATAAAATATATACTTATATTTTATATATATATATACACAGTTGTTTGTTTGTTTTTTTAAATGAATGACGGGGGTTGACTCCTGCCTTTGTGGATTTTTTTTTCTATAATTTATTCATTTTATTTGTGTTAGTGCCAAAAAAAAAAAGAAAAGATTTTTTCTCTTTTTTTTTTTTCCAAGGCACTGAATTGTAAATAATATAATTTTTTTTTCTTCTTTGTATCTGTGTAAAAAGTTGCCTGTTAAACATTTTAAAAACTGGGTATTTATTGACACAATCTGTAATTATCTAATGTATTGATTGAAACGCTTCGGTTTCAACATAGCTTTATTTTAGCTTTCTTTGTGTATATATTGTGATTATGTTGCTTAAAGGTACAAGTTAAAAAAAAATGCTTTATTTTTACCTTATCCATTTGCATTTGTTTAAAAAAAAAAAAAAAAGAAAAAAAGCATATTTGTCTACAGCTGCTGTCTCTCATTTCATCGAAGCAATATGAAGAAATTTCCATTACACTTTCAATAAAAGAACTTTGTTTGAATACGGCAGTGGCTTTGCCCTTCTTGCTCCTTTAGCATGGCTGTGTGTTAATTTTTATTCCATACAGTGGCTCAAAAACTTGGATGGTGGGGGTGAGTGCTGTATTGCATGTCACAGCTGTTCCATTTTCGTTTTTGTTTTTTTTTTTTTACTTTTTTTGGACTGTTTTTGAATGGAGGTCTCCTTGCCTTGGGGTTCCAACCCCAAAGAGTGAGATGGTGGCAGCCTTGGAAGGGGGGCGTCCAGGTGGCCTCCAGGGGTGCCCCAAAGTCCCTCTGTTTTCTCCCAGGGATGGGTCTCCTCTCAGAGGGGAACCCAGTGCCAGGCCATCCCCGAGTTCTTGGCCTGGAGGAGGTCCAGGCTGGTGGGAATGGTTTCTCCAGCAGCATCAGGCACATCACCTGGGGAACAACCCCAGTTTACTCTTGTTTGAACTAATTCTGGTGATAGTCGAGGAAAACCCAAAGCAAGCCCGTTTGCCCTCAAGCAGGAAGCCCTGCTGTTGGAAATCTGGGATCACACCCAGAGTTAAAAAAACATCTTTTGGCTTTTTGGTGGAAAGGCCAAATTCATCGGTGAATGCAAATCAGAGATGTTAACGCGGAGAACAAGCTGGTTTGGGAAATACCTGTTTTTACCTGACATTGATGTGTAAGTCCCTCGGAAACCAAGACCAGGCAGGGAAAAAAAAAGGCCAAAGTCCATGGCAGAGGTGTTTGATACTGTCGTCATGGCTTGTGCTGATGAATCCATGCAGGACTCATGGTTTTCCCACTCAGAAGGATGTGTAGTATGTGTTTGTTTTATTTATATTTTTATATATATAATGGGATTTATGGGATATAGGCATAATGGCAATTATGCCTACAATTTCCTGTCTGTTAATTGTTCTCTGGCTGGGAGAAGAGCCCAATGCACGGTTTCAGCTCCTGCACATTTTCGGGTCATGCCGATGGCTTGGCACCGTGCCCTGGGGAACGGCAGGGTGGCCACCCCTGAGGGGACAGCCCCGAGGTGCCACATCCCCTCTGTGACCCTGCACGACTTTCGGCATCCCAACATCTACATCCACAGCCGGGAGGAGCAGAGGGTTTGTGCCAGGAGGAGTTTGGGGTTGCTCAGGGCGTGATACGGTGGAAACCCCGCAGGATTTTCCCCAATTTCTTCAGCTCTGGCATTAAAGCAGCAGCCACTTTGCTGCTCCTGCCTTTCGAAAACAAATCTGTTGGCTTTTCTTTTCAGCTTTGCCGTGCCAAAAAATAGAAAAGAATTTTTTTAATTATTATTTTTTGGTGCTGATGTCTCCCCAGCCCCCTTGCTTTTTTTTTTTTTTTACCCCTGCAGGAGCCTCCTGCTGTGCAAGCCTCCCTCCTCAGCAGGGCAGGGTGAAGGCCAGCTGGCTTCAGGCTCAGCATGGGACACACGTGCTCAGACTGGTGACACACAGGCTGTGATCCATGCCCAGACCTGGTGACACACAGGCTGTGATCCATGCCCTGCGTGGCAGCGGATGGCGGTGCTCCTTTAATGAACCCAATAAATCCCATCCAGCCCAGTCTGCACGCTCCCCACCTTCCTCACCCTCTTTATTACCTCTTTATTGACTTTTTATTTCCCTCTGTATAGCCACCACTGCTTGTAACACCCGGAGGCATGGAATTACTCATCACCTGCTCCCGTTTTCTTTTCCTGAGTTGCACCGGTGCCTACGAGAAGAGTTAAAGGTTGCGTGTGGCCAGCAGACAGAAAGTGTTTCTCCCTGGGTTGTGGAGCAACCTATGGAAAAAGCATGACTCATTTCTTGCCCGGAGCTGGCACGGGGCAGGAAGGAGACACCCCGGAGCTGTTCTCAGCAGGAAGGGCTATAAAATTGTCAAAGGGAATGGACTTTATCTCCCGCAGGGAAAAACCACGCCGGGAGCTGCAGGGCAGGGCGAGTGCAGGGGTGGTGGCTCTGCAGCAGCAGGGGCATTTCCACAGGGCCAGCTCCTGCACGCCAATTCCTTGTGCCTGCTCTGGAGGTCCAAAAATAAAACAAAATAAAATAAAATGCCTCTTCTTATTGCTCCTCAGTCATGGAAAGAAAAGACAAGTTTCTACCAACCAACGCGGCACCAGGGGTAGGGTTGTCCCCGGTCTGCAGCAAAGGCAACAAAAAGTGTCCTTGGTGGTAACCTTTGAGTTTCCACTGGCTTCAAGACCTCTGTCCCTGCAACAGGCCCATTCTCCACATATACAAGTGTTTTTTTTTCCATGTAGTTGAGAAAAAATTTGCAGCTGCTGAGGTTTTCACTCAGACCTGGAGATGGGCTTGGCCTGCCTAAAAAAAAGGCACTGCAGAATTGGCAATTATTGGCATTTTCCCATGGACCATTTGAGATTAATCTGTCAACACTACAGGATGAGAAAAAATATATATATTCTGCAGTTATAAGTATACATATGTTCTGCAGTTATTCCTTATTTTTTTTTGGGTACTGACATCCAGCATCACAGAACTCCTCATCACACCATAAGGATCCCACAAGCGTCCTCTCCACCAATTCGACCAAAACTACACATGGGCATAAAATCTGTTTGATTTCTGATCCTTGTGAGGGCCCCTCTGTGGCCATCCATATCCGGAGGGACTTCAAGTCCTCAGCATCTCAGGAAATGGGTGATGTTAATTGTAGAGAAGAAATGTAAGTCAATGTAAGGCTTCAGAGTTTTCTCTCTAGCGTTTTCTTCCTAGAAAGCAGTGAAAATTCATCTCTTGTCAGAGGGCTGGCTGGAGTGAGAATTCAGATAAGCCATTAATAGAAAGAACTAGGTTTCCTCCTTCACAGCTACAACTATTAGGAGTTTTTATACTGCTCGATCTGCACATTTCCATCAGTTTGCTTCAGGCCACTGAGACTGCTGCGGAGTGAACGGCAGCATTGCCATCTACTGGGCAGCAGCTTGAGCTCCAGCTTGGAGAAGCACTTCTCCACGGGACCAAGAATTGTGCATTTCACTGGGTTTTTCTATTAAAAAATTAAAATAAGGCTTAAATGATCTGCCTGGGTCTGGAGGATGGGTGAGGATGCCCTCACCTGGTGTGTGTGTCCACAGCTGGAGGAGAGTTAAGTTACTCTTTGGAGTAAATAGAGAACTTTGTGGTCTTTAAGTGATAGAATCATAGAAATCATTTGGATGAGATGTCTGTAGCCTGAACATCCTGGTGGGGATGACTTGGGGCCTCAGGAGAGCTGTGATCTTCCGAAGCAGCAGCAGGATGGGTTGGAATGTCCTCAGACATCCCTGGTAGCACTGACCCTTAGATTTGATCCCTTCAGTGATCCCAGAGCTGTGTTTCTCAGCATTTACAGCACTACCAAACAGCTCAAGGCGTTGTAGCCAGTCTCGTGCCTCTCCAGAGCACCCTGCATGTGGTGGGACCACTCCAGATGTCCCTTGCAGCCACAGGCATCTCCTTTTTCTGCTCCACCTCAGGACGTGGGATGCACCAATTTTCCAAAATCTAGAGGGTTTTAGCTGTGTCCTCACCACCCAGCTTTGGAGACAAGGCTGGCAACATTAGATATGAGCCTTGTATTACCGTGCCCAGTGGCTTTTGCCCCATACTCTTGGATATTACATCGCTGTGAGACTCGGTACCGTCACGCAATAAAACCCATGGGAAGCACAGCGCTTTCCACGTGCTCCCAAGGTCGGATTACAGCTTTGCTTAGGCTGCTCAAGACCAAGCCACTCCCACAGGGCTCTCAGAGACCGAGAGGGCATGAGGGAAGCACCGTGTGCGTGCTGCCTGGCCGCCACCACCCTCCTACCCTGCGTCATAAATCAGGGCTGAGCAGCACAAGCTGTTCCCATCACAGGAACCCGGAAAGAAAGGCTCTTCTTAGCACCGGGGATGGGATAATGATCCCGAGCAGTCTCCAACACGTTGTTTTCCTGCTCCTGTGGCTGCGGCGTGATGTTTAACCTCTGGGCTGCTGCATGAGGAGGCGTTAAAGGAGCAAAGTTCAGAGCAGGCTGACAGCAGGTTTCTCCCTGGAAAAACCCACGGCTGCTCCCTGGAGAGCAGGGGCGGTTGTGCAGCTGCAGGAAAAAGCAGGAAGAGCCCTTGTCTGCTGTCATATTGGGATATAAATGTTTGGGGTTGTGTCTATTAGCTACTTAAGCACCGACAAGGAACAGCGCTGAGCATGGGATGTCGCTCATACATGTGGTTGAATTGTTAACGTGGTGCTCGAGTGTTTTCAGCCCAAGGAGCAGCAGCATCCCTG